TGGTACGTATGAATGACAAGACTCAATCGGACATAGAAGACGGTCTCCATGTTCTAAGGTATGAAACTTACCTTTAATATGTCTCTCATTTTTCTTGATTTTGGTGTCTCTGCATTATTAGATAATATAATGTATCATATGAAAATTGACGAGGGTCATAAATGTCTAGCATGTATTGTTTGCATCAGACGGTTTTAGTTGAGCTTTAGTGGTGGAGTAGCAATTCTATTCTGAATTTATTCCTTTAAACCTTCATGCTCTGGAATTTTGTAGATCAGGTGAACCTCAATAGGGATCCTCTCTTTTCCCGTGACACATTTCTGTTTTTAAGGCGGTCTCTTTTTCTCAATCTGACCATTTATATCTACTGATTGTTGAACCCAAAAAAAAAAACTTTAAAATATCTATTGATTGTGTTCGCCATGTCCAGTGGTTTAACATTTTTAGAGCTTCGCCTTTATGCATACTAAGCTAACATAATATTATGTGTTAATTACTGCCAACATCTTAATGGTTTAGTGGGAGTATTCTTCGTTTTGCCTGCGTGATTATCCCGATTTCTCACATTTGTTTACTTTCTCACCATATTTTTGTTGCTACTTTTATTTTGGTCTCATGTTTTTCATATGCATTAGTTAGATCTGGTGGTTTATACTGATATGATATTGTAGCTTTCTTTGGATGAAGTTCATTATTTTGACTGTAGTTGATTTATATTTTCTGTTAGTAGAATTCAAATATATTACTAAGTTGAGTTGTAAATTGGTGTTATGGAACTACTGAATTCTGGAACATATATTCCTGCAGAAATATGCTTGCTCTTCAATATATATTTTAGGAATATACTAAGATATATGAGATACAAATTCATTACAAATACGTAAAACTCTACACAAGAACACTAGCCAAATATCAATATTCATGTTTTTAGTAATAGGAATCTCTATATCTAGACAACAAGACACACTTCTCTGTTACGACTACAGTTGTTTGGCTCTGCAATTAGTTTCAACAAACCTGCACATTAACTTAAGATGCTATCTTCCAATCGCTTAAATGTCTCTCAAATTAGTAGCTCTTGCCGCTTGCTTCCCCCAAAGAAAACCATTGTAGATGCACCACTTTGACAATGTAATAGGAGTGCAGCAAACGAAATCATTATCAAAGTTGGATAGGCTATAGGCAAGTTCTTAGGAAATTGAGTCTATTCTCCAGATTTGGGTCCCTTTGGAGGATGTGGAGTAGGCAGGGGAAGATGTAGCAACATTATATAAGGAAGAGCCTATAGGTGAAAACAAGATATTTCATAAGCTTAGTTTCTTTAATTATCTCACCAATACATTTGACTTATCATGTGACCAAGGAAAATATAGAAATTTTTCCTTGTAAGATGATGTTGTCATAACATGATTACACATAATAGGAGTCACACTATAATAGCATCGTGTAACTGTATACTTTTTGGGTTTTGTATTATGGTTATGATTCTTTACATTTATCTTATGCTTACATATCTAACACCATAAGGTGTTTGAAGAAGTCCAGCTGTTAAAAAGTTAAAATTTCTTTGGCATTGTTGAAAATTGAGCAGAAAAATTTCAATTTTATATTACTTTTAAGTTCTTCCATATTGATTCCCTTAAGTTAAATTTAGTTATTTTTACAATAAAAAAGTTAATATTGTGCTTGCTATCACTAAATAGATTCAGCGTCTGAGAAAAAAAGAAGAAGATTATGGAGAAATGATCTTGGCAAAAGGGTACTAACAGGAGAAGCTTTACAAAGAGTTTAATGGTAAGTTGTTTCTAGCGTGCACAAGGAATCATCTATATGGTTTTATTTTATGCTCTATAAATATGAAGGTGTTATGTAGTGGCTAAAGAATGATTTAGTTTTGATGATGTTTTGCCGCATATCTTTATAATATATTAGTTGCCTCTATATTTAATGAAAACTCATTAGATTTTAAAGAGTTTGTTAGAACATAAAATCAGTGAACATTAACTCCTACGGTAGTGTTATTTTTTGAGTCTTCTAGGCTATTTCATATGTCTTAAAAATGTCCCTAAGTTCCAACAGTTGTAAGTTGTTCGATCTGATAAGTCTCTTCAAGTACTAATATTATTGACAGAAAGGACAAGGTGAGACAAGTGACTATATTTGATCTCATGATAAATGAGAAGAACTAACAATGAAATTCATTGTAGATGGTGTATTGCCGAAACAAAGATTGTAGGTAAAGTGACATACTGATGATACGAAAGCATTTACTAATTAAATATGACAAAATCAGGATATTAATTTTAATACGATCAAAATGTAAGTCAGTATAAAGGAGGAAATCAACCCCTAATTTCCAGTTAGTAGGAAGATTCCTTGAAAGATATTCAAGGGTTTGATGACTTCTTAAAATACCTAAGTTATAATATATTAAGGGAAGAAGTAGTTTCTCCTTTCCTTCTACAACTCAAAGTTACTTTTCAGTGTACTTGATATTTTATATTTTTTTAGCAATTAAAGTTCCTTTTATTATGAATAATGATTGGTGAAGTTTCTACAGAAGAGAATCAAGTATAAATTATGTTCTCTGGTTTTTGGTTGTTATGACATTTTCAATTCGAATAATTCCACAAGCAAGTTACCAAAGGTATTTACACAAATGGATCTGTGAGTGTGATTTCTGTGAAATGCATTTGCACTATTTATTTAATGAGACATTTACCGAGTCTTCTTCATAGTAGTATTTGATTTGAGTAATGTGAACAAAATATTAAGGAAGATGATAAGTTTATACCGTTAACAATTAAGGTTTGCTTATTGTGCTTCAGATTCTTTGTCAAAATCTTAGCTTGTGACAACAATGCAGGGAGGACTTTTGAATGGATGGATTTTTCTTTGCATCAACTATAGAAGATTTATTTAGTTTTTGAAATCCTCTTTATTTAACTAGAACTACAGTGATTACAATATTCAATTTTTATATGTTATGTATTATGTAATGACAATTAAAATGTTTTTGATACAAGTGTTCAAAAGTCATTTTTTCTGCATTGGAAATTAAAAAAAGGTCAAAAATACACAAATATACGTGTTGGGCCCGTGCTAGTTTATAAAGATATGCATCACAGAAGTGAGCTTCAGTTGGTTTAGGGGAAAATATAAATTATTAGCTTAAAGCCTTAACAATGAAATTACAAACATATATGGAATTAAAAAGGCAAGAGAGCAAAAATACAATATATTACTCCTATGTATCATCAAATGTTGAACAAGTTTAATTTACCTTTCTTGCAAAATACTTTAGGAAAAAGTTTCAACAAAATATAAATATTAGTTAACATGTATTAAACAAGATTAATGACGTAGGGTATATATAAATCCAGTTAAACGTTATATCACTAAATAATTTGAGTGATAGGAAAATTTATATGATTATTGCACTTGAAATAATATAATTACACTTAAATATGGGTTAACTCATTTTCAACCGTTCATTTATCATCCAACCCTATTTTGATCCGTATGAAATATGAGTGGGTTGAAACTCAATCCGTTTTTGCTCAATCTACTTTCTAACACTATTAAAAATTAAATTGAGTCAAAATCTAGGGTCAAAGATTCAAAACCAACGGATTAAATCAATTTTTTTTATGAAAAATCGATAACAAATTGACGGATTGTACATCGTCAGTTTGACTTAGGTTAATTCCCTAAACTGACGAATAAGTAATTATCTGCCAATTAGTATCAAGTTCTTGCACGGTTTGCCCTAATTTTGGGGTGATCTTCAATTTTTATCCCTCGAATTAGTGATTTTTAGATTTTGCTTATGCTTCTTATTTAGTGAAAATTGAAAGACATAATTGTATTTTGCGATTTCCTTTGACTTTGAAAGGCATAACTTATGCCTTGCAATTTTTTATTTATTTTTTCAATCTCATTGGCATTTTTTATTAAGTTTTTATTACTTAAAGTACTAAAAGATCAAATTTAAAGACTATCGAGAAAAACTTAAATACAACCCTAAAATAAGGCGTTCATGCGAATGACCTGGTTAATATTAGGCCAAAAATGTCACCCAAATATGAATTGTTATACATATTATTTGGAGTATATTATTTTCATGAGCTAAAGTTGAAACCATAAATTCCTTATCCACAAAGAACAAGCCAAGAAATAACAATAAATAGTACTAAATGGATAACAATGTGTGAGACAATGCTTACTTGACAATTACCATAGCCTTATCCACTCTCATATTTCATCTCTATCTTATTAAGTAGTATTTAAGTATTAATTATTACCATCACTACTAAAAACGTAAAATCCAATCCTCAATCAAATGGACAATGGAAAATATGGAGAAAGGCCAATAATTTTGGCTATGAAAGGCCATCCAGGGACAGGTAAGAGCACACTTGCACAATCCATAGCTAAAACCCTCAAATGTCCTCTTATAGACAAAGATCACTTCAAAGATTGCACTAAACCTCTTCAACAAATCACTAAAGCCACAAAACTCATCAATGACCTATCATACGACGCCATGTGGCGAGTCGCCTCCGCTCAGCTAGACTTAGGTCTGAGCGTGGTGATCGACTCGCCACTCTCCCGTCGAGCTCACCTCGACCGGATCATTGAGATCGCAGATCGTAGTGGGGCTCGGGTTGTTGTAGTGGAGTGCAAGCCGAGTGATGAAGCTGAGTGGCGTAGGCGGCTTGAGCGGAGGAGTGAGCTGGTGGAATATGGCTCAAGCTGGCATAAGCCGTCCACGTGGCAAGAGATGGAGAAGTTGTTGGAAGGGTATGAAGGGTGTTGGGATTATGATGTTGGGGTGGAGGTTCCAAGACTTGTTGTGGATACAACATGTGCTAATGGGGTTGAACAACTGGTCTCAAATGTGTTGGAGTTTGTTTCTAATGCATGTGGTGCAAAAAAGAAACAATTGTACACTAATTAAGAAATTACGGATCGTTTGATAGAGTGTATACTGTATTAATAATATTAAGAGTAGTTATATTGGAACTACTTCCTATCCAATGTTTGGTTTGGTATATTAAGAGCTGTTCTATCTTTTACTCATGCTTAAACGCATGTTTCTGCAGCAAGCAAAGCCAAGCAAATCCAGAAAGAAAAAGTTTGTGGAGAATACATGTTTTGATCAGAAGATCCTTTTCTGCATATATCACCATAAATTAACAATCATCAATTCAAAAGAAGTAGTAATATTACAAAAGAAAAGCCATTTCTGTACCCCTACTTTTATTCCTCTTTCCCCTATATAGTTACCCCCACAATCAATCCACTCTCTTTGTACTTTTCTACAAGATGATACTTGTCCAAAAGAAAGATGAGTACTATAGTATATATGGAGCTCAAGCTCATGACAAGGTTCAAAAGTCACGCGGCCCTTCGAGATAGAATGCTTCCGCCATTGTTAGAATCCTTAGCTAGAGAGAGGATCTACTTTTTTCTATTCTTGTGACTGACATTAGTCTTTGGAGAATATGAAGAGGAGGAAGACGTAGAGAAGCCCGCCCAGTTCTTTTCAGCTTTGTCTTTCTTGAATGCCTCCATAACTTCACCCTTGAGTTCTGTGTATCGCATCTTCTTTGATCTTTGTTCCTCAGGGGTGCCACTTTCTAACATCAACGAATCTAGTTTGTCATCCTCCAGTAATCTATCTAAAACTTCGGAGCAGTTTGGGAAAAAACGTCGACCTGTCTCCACTGTCATTAAGGTAGACAAAAAAACACAATATTGAGAAAGACTACAACAACAACAAATGTAATCAAATCATGATAGAAAGAAAAAAACGACAGCAAAATAGCAAGATAAACAGAACAAACAAAACAGCTTGTAATAGTGAACACTAGGAGAATAAGATACTACACATAAACTAACTAATACAACAACTTTGGCTACCTCTTACCCTCGACCTCCAAATCTTCCTATCTAGGTTCATGTCCTTGATAAGCTAGCTATCCTCATAAAGCTGAAGATGTGGATAAAGACTATTCACGGGAAAAATGCTATTCCTACTTATTATGGGGGAGTGGGAAGCCTTGATGACATTCATTTACAACATCCAGCTCATGTTTTGCCATCCTCAAAGCCAAAATATATGGAGAAAGGAATAGAAGTTATATCTAGCAACTATAATACTGTTTCCGCGATCTCCTACAGGCGGAAATGACTTGAAGTTTCAATAATCAATTAAGTAAGAAACTAATATGCAATGAAAAATTGTATCAAGCCTAGTAGGACCAGAAGGAAGATATATGTGAATTATAAACATGCAAGATGTTCCATCACTCAATGATTATAAGTTGCAATTTCAAAAGTTCAAATATCTCTTTTAGGAACGCTGGCTCCTCCTTCGTTTAAATAATGAATCCAGAAGACGTAGAGTTACTATCACCTGTTTTCAGTAGTGCGACCAGCCGCTCTTGGAGTCTTTTCACTTGCTCAGATGGTAATTCGTTCAAGTCAACCCCTCTCGGATTTCTGCATAAGCCATTTGTTGCTGAAAGTCCAGTAAACTCTGCGGTTGAATCAGCATGTGCTATTTCCATAGCTAGCATGGCTTCCTGAGGAAATAACATCCGTGCCAATGCCACTGCAAGAAAAGCCAACTTAGGAGCTACATTCAAATACCACAAGTCGAGGAGAAGAGAATGACACAGCACCTAAGTAAGACCAAATAGACTTTTAACATTTTTATCACCCCATAATTATATAACACGAGTATTATTCTGACTGATAAAACATCAGTCTACGGACAGATTCAACAACAAAGCTTGTTAGTCTTTCACTCTCTCATTCCATAGTTATGATTGGCTTCTTTGGTGCAACTTAGCACCGAGAAGAATTCCCTAGCATCTGTGATGTGTTTGTTGCTGCTTCAGTTTAGGACTGAAGTATAAGCAGCAAAAACCTGTCATAGCTTCTTATTTTTCCTTCCTACCAACACCTCTCACACAGAGCAGACGGAAAACACGAAATGAAGTGTAGGGAATGTAGTTCCTCAATTTGCTGTTATATGGGACGACAGGCAGCATCATCACAAACTAAGTTCTAGCGTCACATCAAGCACATTTTCAAAGATCATTATCTCAACTATTATTTCACTGAATTCTGTTTGATGTATGACAAACAGACACAAAACAGTTTGTTTCTCAGGAAAATGGTGTAGCTGTGCAACACAAATGAAATTTCAACAGCTTACCTAGAAACTCCATCTGAAGTCTTAGAATCTGATGCAAAATTAGTGGCAATCAGAGCACACAGGAATGCATAAGCATCTTAATTTTAGCTTAATATAAACAACAATATCAAGCATGTGATTTGAATTAAATTGGATAGGTTTTGATAAGTATAAGAAATGTGATTACTGGATCACTAAGAGAGTTCACTTCAACATAACAAAGTTACCTCTATTTTCAAATAAAAGCAACCTCATGAGTAATTCATCAGCCAACACCAATGATGAAGAAGACATGCTCCCAATCATAGGATTCCTAATCATCTCTCTCTCCAAAACATCAATGCATAACCGGTCTTTATTAGTAACCTTTCCTTGCTCCGGTGGATCATTGTAATCCTTTAGACGAGTCAATCTACGGCATATGGATAGTGCTGTATGTCCGTCGCGTGTAGTATCCAAGACCGATGCTCCTTTTGCAAGTAGTCCCATTATTATTGATGGCTCCTTTCGTCTAGCTGCAACATGAAGGACATTATATCCTCGGGAGTTCTGAAGATTGACATCAGCGCCTAAACCCAGCTCAAGTACCTCGTTCACAACCTTGGAGTTGCAATAGGCAGCAGCATAATGAAGAGCACAAGCATCGTTTAAAGTGACGTTTGACTCTTCCAGGAGTAGTGTTAGCAGTTCAACGTCATCAGACTCCAGAGCCTTCAGAATCCTCCTAATTCTCTTTTCACTCAAGGAGTCTTCTTCTAATGACTCCTGTTCAGTCCCTTGTCGAGACTTGAGGCGCCTTGATTTTATGTCAGTCAAAACTTCATGAGGGAGTTCTTTCTCAAGAGTAGCATTGTCTAGATCAGATCGTGCCACTCTCTGGATGCAGTGTTCAAGAAGTTGATTAGATTTGCAGTGAAAGGCAACTAAAAGTATGGGTATTACATCCTCAGGAGTAGCCTTATCAACAAAGTTGTCGAGATAGCGCTGCACTCAAACAGAACATTAATCAGAACTCTTCAGATAAAAAAAACAATGTAACTACAAAGTTAGAAGCATTAATTCTCATGGAAAGCTTCTGTCGTTTCCTATCTGGTACAAATATCATTATAAATTCAATAGCAAGTCATTTACTGTATAATCAAGAAATATACAAAGAACTAGAATAGCTCAGGACTGTAGTAAGCTGTTGAGACTCATTTTCATGGACAAAGCAATAAAATCATAAACACCTGGTACCCTAACTCAAGCAGGATGTTAAGCTTAAGTCTCAACCTGTACATATGGCAGACAGAGTTCATCTGCAACCGGATTCATTGATTAGTAATTTAGTAAAAACGTACATCATTTAAACTCGATGAATGCTAAATTTCCAAGAGTTCTTTCCTAGAATCTGACAAAAACAGCAATAGTTTAAGCTTTTTGATAATAAAATTACCTCCACTCTGTCAATATGTAAGAACTAATGTGGCACAACTTGTCCCTTAAGGCCATCATCCAGACTGAAATAGATATCTACTGATTGAGGTCTAAAGCAGCTATAACTGACCGTGGGGCATAGTAGGACCAGAGGCAAATTCAAGCTTTGAATTTCTTTTTTATTCCGGATTTGAACCTTATGGGTTATCACAGCTCAAATGATTTATTGGGTCAAAAATCTATAACTTGTACTTATTTAGTTGAATTTTTTTACACATACAGGGTTTGAACCAATATATTGGGTTGGTATGACCACATAACTTACATACTAAATTCGCCCCTAAGTAGGACTACATGTCTTTAGACAGTTCAGAAAATGCTGAATATGCTCCATAAATTCTCGTCATTAATGAAATAAAATATGACCAATTATAATATGTTATGACAGAAACAATGACTCCTAGATGATGAAGATTTTTGTTTATAAGCTGATATACTAGGAAAAACGGAGATTTTTCTGAACATCAGCATTTTCAACAGAAATCCTTATATATAAATCTGAAAAGATTGTGTCTAAGTCAAGCATGTGATTTATATTTGGTATGCTTTGATGTTGTTGAAGAAATCTTATCACAAGGATAGTTCTATGATAAGTCCAAGAAGGAAAGTCAAATGCATATATAGAACTTAACCAGCATAGCAAACACTGACCTCTACGACCATAACGAGTTCTTTTATCTGAAAAGTGGACGAAGCATACATGAGTTCCACTGCATAATTAATGGCAGGGCGGCAAGCATCATGAGCACAGGCATTATCAACACAACTCGAAACTTCTGAAGGAGATGACTTAATCGTTCCCGTATATAAATAATTCAGGAGGACCATGAATACTTCATAGCCAATTGAGGCAACACGCACCAAATCCTTCAGCAAATATTTAGGCTTTTCATTTTTCAAGGAATTCTCATTCTGCTCCTTAAACTTTTCATGGAAAAACTGACTTCGTGCAGCCAATATACAGCGATTAACGCCAACATCAATCCCCTCAACGACTATTTCTGCATCACTGTAGTTATATTCAGGATTAAGCAGGAGTTTCTCAAGACTACCACATAAATTACTCAAATGATCAACACTTGGTCCTGGTTCCTGGGGACTACTGCACTCATTTGATACATTAGAAGATGCAGCAAAACTCTCGTGGCCGCTCTCCATTGTTCAAACTTAATTATTGCTTTGGTAATTAAACTAGCAAGAATTCATCCCTGAGAGAGCAAGAAATCAATAATATGCTCAGCATGACCAAACATTTAATGACTTCAGACACCAAATCCTTGCATCAAGAGCATGAATCCACCAAAAAAAAGTTAAAGTACTTAATATTCTATTTCCATGTCATCAACCAAAGTAAAGTTTTAAGATAGAAAGAAAACATATCATCAGCTCAGAACACCCAAAACACAAAACGGACTTCAAGGGTAGGCTAAAAAATCAATCTTTTCTTGATTCCCAAAACCTACACCTTCTTCTTAACAACACCAAAAATCAATCTTTAAGCTACCCAATGCCCCAAACAGAGCAAAAACCTCAAGTAACAAGACAACAATGGTAAAGTCAATCAAGTCAACGCTAGCACAAAATCTCAAAAAAAAAAAAGCCTGAATTAACAATGAAAAATGAGAGAATTGGAAATATGAGTCCTTTTTCCCCACCCCTTATTCTTTAAGAGCATAAAGATTCTATCTTTGAGCTACCCACTTCCCCCAAACAAGGCAAATAGAGTACCTCAAGAGAAAGCACAAAACTTTTCCAAGAATCTGAAAAAGTTGAGCATAAAGTCAACAGGTCAACTTTGCATGATCTTGGCCCAAACTCTCACACCTGCAAGCCAAAAAAAAGAACATAATGACCCTCCCTTGCTGCTAGTGAAATCCCATCATTCTAACATAAACATGAAAACTCCAAAAACAAAGAAAGCGATTCTGCATACCCCAAATATGTATTGTGGAAGAAAGCTGCAGTCTGCTGACCCCAAAACTAGTCAAAAAGTGATTGCTTGCTGTGACAGAATGAAGTAAGTAATGATTTTGAGTAGGAAAAAAGAAGAAGAGTGAAATGAAAAAAAGAACATAACAGAGATGCAGAAAAAGGAATACTACTAGTGAATGATGCAGGTGCATGTATCAAGTTATAAAAAAAAAAATGTTTATTGTAAGTATATCCTTACTTTCATTTATTACACCTTAATTTTGTTAAATTAATCTTTTTTTCAATTTATAAACTATGGTCTATTTTAGCTTTAATCTTTGTGGCCATTGGGTGTGAATTGGGATAGTACGACGAAAGGGGAATTGGCGGGCCCAAGCCGTGTTCGTAGGGGCGGGACGGTAGAGGTATAAAAGGTGCTTGTACTAATATTTTTTATTGGGTGATGTGACATATAAATATTTCGTTCTAGTAAATATACGAGTCTGTTTAAAAAGTCACATTGGTAATTGAATTTGATGTAATTATATTGTCTATCTTGTTTGGTTGGTCAGTAGGTAATTGAGTGTAATTGATAGAAGTAATTATACTCTTCAAGAGACTGTGAATTACTGGTAATTATATAGTGTAATTACAAGCTCATTACTTTAAATTTTCTTATTTCTATTTTTATTTTTTGTTTTAATTTATTTTTATTATTTTAAATTTTTTAAAAAAAATTAAGAGTTTATTTTTTATTTATTATATTTCAGTTCCTTCTCATTCTCAACTTTTGCTTCATGTGATTTCATGCAATTTTTCATACTAACAATTTTTTATGTCATGCTTTTTAAAAAAAATAAATTTGATAGTATTCTAATTTTTAAATTAAAATAGAATTCATTGTTAAGTAAGGTTATAGACTTACTTTCTTTTTCTTTTAAATCATATTTATATATGTTATGTTGAAATTTGACATAATTAAGACTAATTTGTTTTGAATTTAAAACTTACGTTATATTTTCACTTTTATTTATTTTAGTAGTATTGATTTGAGACTTCATATTGCTAATCGTTTATTTTTAGTTAGATTTGATAGATTATCTTTGTGCCAAATATTTAAATAATTTATGACATTTTATTTATAATATTATTATTTTTGTCAAACATGCATTTCATGATGTTCATAGAAATCTTATACTTTTTAGTTTTTATTGTTAATTCAATTGAAATATAATAATTTGTAAAATATAAATCATTTATTTTTTTCATAATATTAGTTAAGAACATATGCTTGTTAATTAATATACTTTTAAAAGATAATATATATCTAAAATATTTAATTAATAACATTTATAAAGTTTCTTATTTGTCTAATATAAATTTACAATTAGCTTTTATTTTAAAATTTTAATATAATCTTATAACAGTAATGCATCCAAACAATATATGCGTAATTACATTGTGACAAACAAATAGATTACTGTAATTATTAGGTTGTGTAATTACTAGACTTAAATCAATTCCAATTATCAGGTGGCTTTCCAAACATACACTGTAATTTTTTTTAGTTATATTTTTTATTAGTTCGATCAAGGAATAATAGTTTGCATTTTCAATAATTAAAATATTTTTTATTTTTTAATGATTTTTTATAATTAATACATATTATAACATATTTAATGTCTCGTTACTTATATTTCCAACAAATTATGATCACACAAATAATATAACATATTTAAACTTATGAATTTTGCATGTCTTTTCACGTCAGAATGAATTAAAATAAAGAGAGTAAATATATAAATATTAATTAAGAAAACAAAAGGGCACCATAAGATATAATTATTTTCTTACTTTTCATTTGATATTGTTTTTTTATATTAATTTTGCGTTCGCTTGATTAAAATTTGCAGCAGAAAATCTCATTTAACAAAGTAAGATTTTTTATTTTTTATTTTTTATTTTTTATACATGGAATTTTTTTTATCAAAGATAGAAGGGCTATATCTCTCTTCTAAAACTTTTTGAGGTTTACTTGAAATGTTGAATGTCCTACAATATGTTAGATTTTTGGAGGTGGTATAAATAAAATGGAAAAGGGTTAAAAATGCCCTTAATGTATCCCAAATGGTTCAAAAATGTCCTCTTTCCATTTTTAGGTTTAAAAATGCCCTTAACGTTTTTCTAAGGTTTAAAATTGCCCTTTTTTAACAACCTGTTGTAATGGCAAATGATGAGTCATTAAATTGGACAAATGGCTTCATCTTATTGGTCCACCTAATTTTTTAAAATCCTGCCCAACGATCCGACCCATCTATGCTACAAAAACTCAAACCCACCCACAAACCCGTTTACATATTAACCTAACATATCCTTGCACTCCATTTTAGCAGGATTCTCAGCCCTTTTTTGTAGCAGCCGGCGAGGATGGATAACGCCAACCTTTTCCAAGATGGTGCCGGTGGTTCTGATTTTGTTATACCTATCCGTTGTGCTGGCTCGATAAGCATCATTAAGGCAAATTCATGATTATTGTACTTGTCTGTAGAGCCATCAACATAACAACTTCTTGCTTTGTTAACAACTTCAACTATCTTATTATAGAAATAAGCTACGTCTTTGCTGATATCCGATACAAACATTTCAAAGGCCATATGCTTGAAATCCTCTGCTAGCTGCAGCTCTGCCTTACCATGATGCCCTCTATTCAAGTTTCTAATGAGGAATTTGAATTCTAAACGACTAAAGTTTCAAGATAGCTTCTTCAATATATGCCAAACAAATTGAATTCAAGAACTTGCTTACAATAGAACTAGAAAACCTGCAGAATCTCCATCCAATATTTATCAAAATCAAGTTTGTAGTGCAGCCATGTGCAAAACCATAGAGAAGAAATTGATTGTTCCAAACATTGTAGTTCTTCGATCTTTTTCTTCTTGCAATTAACTAGAGAATGGAGAACAAATGGATTGAAGGAGAAGAAAGAAGAGAACTAGAGCTAATGGAAATAAAAGACCCAAAAACAATCGGCCTATCGGATCAGATTTTTCGAAATTGGTTTTTAGACTAAGTGGGTCATATATTTTGAAATGTGTAAAGAAAATGCATGTCACATTTGCCATGTCAGCAGGCTATTAAAAAAGGGTAATTTTAAACCTTAAAAAAACGTTGAGGGCATTTTTAAACCAAAAGGTGGATGGAGGACATTTTTGAACCATTTGAGATACGTTAAGGGCATTTTTAACCCTTTTCCCTAAATAAAAAATGAAAGAATAACAAATTCAAAATTGAAGGAAAAATGTAAATGTAAATGCTTTATTGTTCTCAAATATGAGTTCTAAGATAAACTTAAATAAAAACAATGAAAATAGAGAAGTCTAGCTAGATTCAAATCCAGGTCTCGTAAGTGGTCTCTTTGGCTTGTATCAGTAGTACAACATCACTCTTATGTTCCTTATGGGTGCACTGTTAATTATATCCTAAATTTCTGTCAATTTTTCAATATAGATATCTATGTATACACATGATTTTTTCCAAAATTAACGGATGCACGTGCACCCCTACCTTATAGAGTGGGTCCGCCTCTACTCATACCTATGTTAATTGATCCATTAAACTCTTCAATATATTAAGCTGCAATTCGAAATGTATTCTATTAATTAGATCCCAATAAATATTCAATTACTAATTATAGAGTTCATTCAAAAAATCACATTATCTTAAGTCATAAACTAAGATGCGGTCCTCTTCTGTTGTTTTTATAGTTTTAGGTTTAAGATAAAGTATGAAATATTTTCTTTTCGAATGAAATACACTTTTGGTATATAGTGATGGAATAATATAATACGGCATTTTTTGAAAATGTATACCTGTATAAATAGAAATATGAGTCATCTAGTGAAGAATCTAAGCAATTTCACAAAGAAATAAAGAAAAATATTTTTTATGAGAAAAATTCAAATTATAGCAAATATTAAAGGATTGCTACTTTCTTTGAATCAAAATTTCTAAAAAAAATATCGGAAAATAAGCTCCAAACATTTAAAGAAGTTGTGACTTCCTCAAAAGTTCACTATTAAAAAGAGTCAGTCAATAACAAGGAGAATTACTCTATTATATATATATGTTTTATAGTAATTTTGATCGAGTTATCGATATAATTTTGAAAATTAAGATCAACAAGACTTTACAAGATCTAACATTGTTTCAATCTTACTAGATACAAATGATACTTGAAAAGTTCAAGTATCTGAACTACCAAAATTTTAAAACGCCAATTGATGTAAATTTTGTTCTTACTAAAAATAAAGGTGAAAGAAAGCTTCAATTGAATTATGCTAAAGTGTTGAAAAGACTAATATCCATTTATCCTTAGAGAAAATAATCTTTATTCTCCGAATATTAAGAGGCGGGATTAAGCTTCTTAAGAACAGTACATTATGAATTCAGTAAATAATTATATTTCATCACTATTTCTAATGTAGGGAAAATGGTCTGAAATATATCCAAACTTTGACCGAAATTGCTGTTACGACCAAACTTTGGAAAGGACCTTTTACCTCCTGCACTATTTAATAGTATATTTTAAAGGTATATATGCGCCCATGTGGACATAAAAAATAATGCATAATTATAAATAGTAATGTGTCCATGTGGGCACATATATACCTTTAAAATATACTATTAAATAGTTCAGGGGGTAAAAAATACACTATTAAATAGTTCAGGGGGGTAAAAGGTCCTCCATAAAGTTTGGTATCGTAACAACAATTTCGGCCAAAGTTAAAGTATTTTTCAGACCCTTTTCCCACTAATTTACTTTATTTATAAATTTAAAGTATTTTATTTTCAAAAAATAAGAAGGGTTAACACAATACACTTGTAGACAAGCACACCAAGACAAACAACACAAGGGGCGGCAGCATGAATAAACTTAACATATTACGTCCATATCTCAATTCTCAAGTCACAATTTGCCACTTCTCACTTGTTGATTAATGAGAAAAGGCTCAAATACACCATTGAATTTTTAGAAAAGGCTAATTTATGTCATTCGTTAAAAGTTTGGCTCATCTATGCCATTATCGTTTAAGAAAAGGCTCATTCATGCCATTATTTTTTAACAGTGGTTTTGCAAAACCAT